CAGTTAAAAAAAAAAGTTAAACTAATTCCTCCCGTCTTTTTTTTACCATAGTACAGGAGGAAAAAAATCTGAATATGCATTTAAGATGCACAGTATTGTTTGCTGCACCTGCAGGTGTTTCAGAGGCTTGAGCATGAATAATACTCCCTGCTTTAGTACACGCTTAGAAGAGAACTGCCCACCAAAGATGACCATAATGCTATTTTACAAGCGGGAAGTTCTGAATTCCTTGCATAATTTCAACATGGCAGACTATAAATCACTATATTGTCAAGCTATTGCTTAAACAAGCAAATAAGACTGATACCAATTCCAACAGAAGAGTATTAATATGTCTGAGGGCAATTGATATTAATTGCTGTAGGGCAATTTGATCTTTTAAATCAGATGCTTTGGTGATAGATATATCAAATTTATACAGCTTTATGAGAGATGATTTTTTTTTTTTTTTGGTTTTTCTCCAGTATGGGGAACTGAACTCACGACCTTGCGCTTGCCAGGCAAGCGCTTTTGCCACTGAGCTAAATCCCCAACCCCTATGAGAGATGATTATACTGACATTAATCACCAATAGCTCTAGAATGCTTTCTAGTTGAATGAGATCACAGAGACATAGGGCATTATGTTGAAACCCAAACTAATCTGGCTCAAACTGACCATGCCCACGTCTTTTCCTGATGGCTAAATAGAATTCTGTGTACAGTACATGTATGCTGGAAAGTCATGACATGCGAATTTTTGGAAAGAAAGTTACAAACACATGTTTTTATAATTTACCAAAGATGTTCTCCCACGTTCTACTCTGTCTCAGTGATAATCTCAAAATCATCTAAACTCATTTGTCTTCCCTGACAATAACTCATGACAAACCACAGTCTTGTCTATCCTTTCTGAACGTTGTTCTTTTCAAAATACCTGTTTTGAGCCGTAACTGAAAATATGGATAACATTTAAAATTTCATTAACCCTTCATTTCTATTAATGTCAAAAAAAAAAAAATAGCAGCCAGGCTGGTATCCATTATGCCCCCACATTCTGTTGTTTCCATGGTACAGTTACAGGCCCTTCTTGTATCACCATGGGGTTATAGTCGAATAGACTCATAAATATTTGAAACAATTTTCGTGTAACGCCCTTAACCTTCTGAACACTGTCGTCTCCCCTCGGGCAATGGGATCTGCAGCTGGCGGCCACTCTCCCGCATCTGAAGAGAGCACTGCACCGCACTGCGCGTTGCGACCCTGGGAAAAGGTCGAAACCCAGAAACTGAAGCTTGGCTTCTACTGAAGGAGCACTGCTTTTGCATCACCATAAGCCCAAAGCACTGCAAGCTGGGAACCATCTCTACATTTGAATGCTTTTCTGTTTAGCCAGTTGTTTCTGTTGTCCATCACTTCCTGGTACCTTCCCCAGAGACATCTGCTGAAAAGCGCATCTTCATCATACCCACCCAACGAAGCCTTCCGTGCCTTCCCCTGCTCCCCTGAGAAAGTCTAAACTCCTCACAAGAGCTGGCTCTAGGACTGCACCTGGCCACTATCAGCCCTTTCATTTTTATCGCCTGCCACGCTGCCACAGGAATTCCCAAACTCCAGTCAAAGCGAGCTGCTGGAACTCCCGCGTGAGACCTTCCACGGCCGTGCCTTGCTCATTCGGAATGGCTGCCTGTATCTCTCAGCTGCGCGTTCCATCCTCTTCATGATCCAAAGCAGCGTGCACCTGCCTGGTGCCCATCTCTCCTACCCCGCTTTCCCCCGCTTCCTTCTCCGCAGCTCACGGCCCTCTCCACGCTGGAGAAACTCTGACGCTTAACATCAGTATCATCCACCGTTTTGAATTCTCCTTACTAAGCAATATTCAATGCTATTTACTTCTGATTTATTACAGAATATATTTAGCCCACTTCCAAAAGGAGGATGGGAAGGCTTGCAGTCAAGACCTCACAAAACTGAATGTGAAAAAAGAAGTGAAAATACAAAACCACAGGCCGGAGCAAGTAGTAGTAATAAAACTTGAAATCTAGCTACACGTTTCCTGCCTGTCGAGGCCAACTAAAGGACCCATTAGTTATCTGGCAGTGACTTACCACTGTGGTTTGGAGTGTGTGAGTGTGTGAGTGTGTAAGTGTGTGAGTGTGTGAGTGTGTGTGAAGACTTTTCATCTGTATGTCTTTTGTAATTGCTAAGGTTTATTTTAGGAGTTACCTAGCAAAGCATCTAGTCTAATATATTTTAACAGTGTAAAATTGATTTATGACTAACATGATAACAGAATCATAAATCTGAGGCCATTTTCTTTATGTAGAGAATCCGAATAAGCTTATGATGAAGATATGAATGAAAATGTCAATACCCGATATATAAATTTCAGGAAGAACAAAGGGTCTAAGGTTGTTACCACTTCAATTACAGGAAATTAAGAAAGCATTCGCAAACACAACCTTTTAGGGTAAAAAAAAAAAAAAAAAAAAAAAAAAAAAAAAAAAAAAAAAAAAAAAAAAATATATATATATATATATATATAGTGTAGAGGAGCAAAATTTTGTAGGGTAAGAAATTAATTTATTAGAAATATATTGTAGATTTTAACTTATATCATTATTACAAATGGAATAGGAAGTACTTCTCCATCTTCTTGAGAGACAAACTTATGATATACACTATTTATGAGGTTATTTTTTCCTCCCCAGATAGCTGTTTCATGGGCCTGGAAGGACATGTGCAGATACACTTCGCTCTTCATATTTTATATCAAAGTTTCATTTCTTCTCGATATAGGGCTTTTTAAAAAGCTGGCATGGAGATATTTTTTCAGTGGAAGGAATACTCCCGGACAGTGCGGACGGTGCGGAAGGCACTGTCCAACAGAGATTTTTGTGGTGATGGAAATGTTCTACATCTGCGTTATCCAATGGGTAGAGAAATGTTCTGTATCTGTGGCCCTGTCTTCCCATGTAAAGTGCTTAAAAAGTCACTGGAATGACCATGAAACTGAATTTAAAATTGTACTTCATATTAATGACATGGCATTTAAGTCGAAGTAGCCACACATGCCTGGTGACTACAGTATGGGACATAACAGCGTTCACAAGCCTCTGTATTTCTAGGACACACCTTTCCTTACCTGCTGGGCACTGTTAGTGGTAGACTGTTTGCACACTGTCACTGGATTATTGTGTGATGTTATAAAGTACCGTGCAGGCTTGGGTGCTTCTATTATTTTAAGAAGACTATATTAAAAGTGAAATTCAAGAGAGTTTATTATTTATTGTCATGGTGTCAGCGAGAAGGTCATCCGTGTTTCTGTCATGACATTGAACTTGGGCTCAGTGCTAATGCTTCATGAAGCAGGAGGTTAAGTAGCCTCACCTCCACCAACCCTGGCGAGCTAGCAGTGCCTGTGTAAAATCTGCAGTGACAGCCTTGGTCTGCCTCTTCCGGGCATCTGAAGAAGTGGTTCTCAAGGTAAACTGTTCTTGTCCAAAGTGTTCTCAAGGTAAACTGTTCTTGTCCGACCCTCTAGCTCTGCTCGCAGTACTACGAGCGAGTGGGCGGGGGTCGGTTTCTGCAGGCTGGAGGGGGCTGGCTTCCACTCTTTTAATTTGAGGATCCCCATACTTGCCCTTTGAAATGCTATTTTGTAAACTGCTGTTTCCTCTAAGGCTGTTACGCTTTTTTCCCATCTGCGCTGAAGTCTCTTTTCCCAGAGGGGCCTTTCTGTCTCAATTTAGTCATGCGTGGGTAGAGACCCACACCCTCAGTCCTGGCCTCTGACTCCGGGAGGTTCCTTCGCCCCAGGGAACCCTGCTCACAGTGCCCTGGGGCAGCCGAGTATCCAGCGCTGCGGGTCCCCCTCAAATCTGCCGCTTCTCCTGGCAAGTCTCCTTCGGGTCCCAAACACACCGGAAGGGAGGAGAGGGGAAAAAGTAAAAAAAAAAAAAAAAAAAAAGAAGAAAGAAGAAGAAAGAAAAAAGGAAAAAGAAAGCTTTCTTCCTTTAAGTTACTGTTTTTAGCAGTTTCTGTAGCAATTCTAACTTCTGGCTTGTAAGGTACTTTTGTTGTTGCTGCTGCTTTTAAATAGTTCATAACCTGGCTAGTAGAAAATCCTGCAAAATTCCAATTTTCCTTTTCTCTCCACCAGCAAGCCAAAGAAGTCAGTTCTGACCGCTACGTTTCCCTTCCAGTTACAGATTAAAGTGTTCCCCCCTTTGCGATATATAATTCATCGACGTGAACAGTCTCTGACCCACCGCTCCGCGCACGCGCAGATAGGAAGCAGCTGGGGGGATTTCGCCCCTGGGCTTGGTCGGAATCGCATTCTTTACCCTCTAACCCTGAAGACAGAGACCAGGATTTTCCTCCGCCCTCCTGGCCGCTCAAGGAAATCCCTCTGCCAAACATGGCTCAGGTCCACAATTTCCCAATCCAAATGGGTTCAGACAATAGATCCCTCTGGCCAGAAACGCTAAGAGGGTCAAAGTTGTAATAACAAAATGAAAATTTTAAAAAAGCCTGACCACCGTGTGAGACCTAAGTTTGTCCAGTAACCCAGGCAGCTGATCTATTTTTAATCGGCACATTCTGAAAGTATGAAAAAGAACTTCAACCCCAGCGTTCAGTCGGGCAGAAGCAACTGTCCACACCTAGGCGTCTACGGGGTAAACCAAGAGATGCACATTTGTTCCGGGGTCGTAAATGGGCTTAGCAGGGTACAAGGGCCAGAGACTTCCAGTTAGAGCACCTCTCAAATGTACATCATTTTTGCCACTGCGCATATGTACATCATTTTTGCCATCGGTTTTAAATATGTAATCTCTCTATATAGTATATCTAAATAACTTGGCGAAGAGAGTCATTTCAGGTCTTTTCAGCCGGAGAGAACGCGCACCCCGCATCGCGGCTCACGCCCGGCTCCGGCGCGCACGGCCGCCCCGCAGAGGGACGGGGACGGCCGCCTCCTCCCGCAGCCCCAGCCCTGCGCCGAGGCCGGCCGCGCCCTACCTTGACCACGTCGTCGTTCAGGTGCTTGGGGTCGCGGTTGACCAGGTCGATCTCCTTGGTGTGCGCGTCGTACAGCGGCTTCTCGCCCACGTCGTCCGCCATGGCCCTGTTGTTGGGCTTGTAGATGTTGCCCTGCTCGCGGACGGGCACGGTGTACAGATGGCCCTGCGGGCGGCCGGGGCGGCGCGTCAGGCGGCGGC